GTGAAATTTAGCGCTCTAGGTGCTCTCTCCTGTAGGGTTGCAGGCATCGCGAAAGCCGTAAATGATGTTCGGAATGCCATCACCCAACTTGAGAAATCTCCATGTCACAACGCAAAAATAGAGGCCATAGTAAAGTAAAGGCCTTTATCTGCATATTTATTGAAAAGGACTGAGACTGTATATGAATAAGAACGCGAAGTGTTCAACAAAACGATGAATGTCACTAATGACTAGAAAATATACCAAATCTTACTGATCAAGATTTACTTAAATATGTAAAATTATTGGAAATTCCACACTTCAGAGGCGTCTATATGAGGGACCGATTACCTAAAAATGCACATAAAAATGACGAAGGATCCTGAATTTGGACAGCTACCATGCTGCAGGTACTCGGTGGATAATAAATTACAAGAGAAGACCTGAAACTGTGTACATATTTCGATAGTTTCGATATTTTGAGACTTCTCGTGGTGTTATTAAAATAATTAAAGTGTTTCCGTAATAAAATTCTATTCTAGCTAAATATTCTTGTTCGTTAATGTTTTTAACATAAATTCTTACCGTAGATAATAATATATTTTGTGCTAAAACATGATGCGTATTTAACAAATATTCTGACGAATTATTATCCCCTGTGTCACCGCCACTAAAACGCCAAAGATGCCGCACCCTGACCGCTTGTAACTGTAGCATCTTCCCCTGGAATACGTATAGACGCGGGAACTTGACGCTCCGCGACGTCGGTACTCCCGAAATTGTTCAAAACTCGTCGCATTAATACAAATAATAATAATGATGATGACTGTTCGTTTGTAGAGATTTACTGAACCATTCCTTTTTTGAACAACATTTTTCTGTACTAGAACTAGTTTCTATGGATTCCAGAAAATCGGCTCTGTCCTTTAAGAAATCTTTTAAACCTTGTAGCTCTGATATTTCGTGTCCCGATTCAAATTTCTCCCATTCGCGAGAAGTTTGCACGTTTAACTTGTTTGTAATAATGAATATTAATAATGTACCCCAGAGCTCCGTCGGTTGTCCTAATTGTTCTAAAATGCGTAAATGTTTTGCAACTGTGTCTACTAAATCTTATTTTTTTAGAAGATTCCTTTTGAATGCTTTCTAATTGAAAAATAGCCTTTACATGATTTTGTACTAAAAGTTTGTTATTATTATATATGTCCTTTAATAGGTCCCACGTAATGCGTGTTTGATGTAAACTTCAATGCTTTAATTACCTGCGCCGCGCCTCCACTCAGTGCCGCTCTCAAGTAATGAACCTTTTGCATATTGTTTATCTACTTATTGTCATGGATTTAAGGATTCAATAATATTTCTGAACTCTAACCATCCATCGTATCACCCATCGAATTTTGGGAGTTAAATTATTGGCAATTTTATACTTAACATTTTGTGAGACTGAGACTTCGTTTGTGGAGTTCGAACCGTTTTGAGTTTTAGATTGCATGCCTCCGCTGAATTCGATACAGTTTTAGACTTTAGGCTACCTTCGACCTTACCTGGTGACAGTGCCATAGAAAATGGAGGGACTTCTAATTTCGTCAGAGACGTGGTAACGATACCCTCTACAAAATATGCAGTAATCTAGTGAAAGCAACAGTGAGCTGCTCGACCTGAAAACAATCGCATTACAAAAACTGGTTTCACTAACAAAAATGTCTATAGGATGGAATCGACAGGTTCCATCATCTACACCAGCGATAACTCACCACCGCGAAATTAACCAACAAAACACATTATCTGCCTGAAATACACATTCAAAAATCAAAATACGGCTCTTTAATTTAATAATCGAAACAAATATTGGTATAAATTTATAGGATGACCGATATTATCAACAATATTAACTTTTCCATCAAAACCTATCCCAAAAAGTATCACCAAGTTTTCGCGAAGCTAACCCGAATCTTTTTCTTTACTAGATTAACTAGCGAATTCTTGATATTCGCCACTAACGCTCTTGTGATGATAAGTTCTTAATCAGATTAGGCAACCACACTAACAGGATAGTATAAAGTTGAATCTATGAGATATTTTACTTACCTTATACAGATGACAGCAAAAACAAGTGTAACGGACAGTTAGTTCGTTACAATGCGCGTGTTTTTTTACTTTACGCTGTTTTTTATTCCTTCAAAAATCTTCTCCTAATTTGGGAGGGGGTGCGAAATGCGAACTCGCCTTGTTTTTCCCAGAGTGAAAGAGGAGAGCCATACGGCTTTCCGTAAAAAAGATTATGTATAAGCGCGATGAGACTCGCTTATTTTCAATGGCGCTTATCTCGATAAGAATTAATTTTTGAGTCTTGGACCCGTGACAACTTTTGATCAGGACATCTCAAAGTATAATTTATTTCATTTTCAGACAATAATTGTCTGAATGGAGATGGTAATAAGAAGAAAGGTGATAGGGTGCTAGTAAAATGGTGGGGATTTGATAGCACTCGGCTGGGTTGAAAAAACATATTTAATTTTGCTGTTGTAAAAAAACACTATTATTAAGTGTATATCAATGTATTTAATATTTGAATTATAATTGTTTTAATTTGTTGTTTTAAGGGGACAAGGGAAAATAAAAGATAACTATTTGAGTTAATTATTTTATTATTTGTCATATATACATGTATACAGAACATATTGAACAGGTTAAGATTCATGAAATTTATTTTATGTTTTTACAAGAACAGGGTCAATCATGTGAGAATTTTATTATTCTTTGATGGAATAGGCTCAATCGACTCCATCGTGCATCCAACACATTCCTAACTGTTCTGTGGGCGTACCAGATGTCGGTGTGATCGTTGAACTGAATCCTCTTTTTGATCGGAGATATGGATATTACTATTTTCTCCATGTTTTTTTTTTGTTATACCACCAAAATGTAGCATACGGAAAAACTGACTTTACCCTCTGTCAGTGTCACTACAACTCGAAACCCAAACTACCTCAAGACAATATAGATATCTTCTATTTTGTATTTTGTGTCAACTTCTAGTTGTCTTGTTCTAATGAATGGATTCACTAATACTTGTCTCTTAATGACATCAAACATTTTTTTGTAGCAATTATTTCTATGTATACTTTCAATGTTCTCAAACTTCTCAAACTCGAATGAGCTGGAGATGCTCCAGTTCAATGGTTTACCCAGTTTGATGAAATCACGGACGCCTACTGACTGTGGGAACCTCATAATGGTTACTCATTTCCGTCTGTTTGTGCTTAGCCCACGTTTAAATTTATTAGAAGCTATCTTTAATACCTATCACATTATTTCTTACTAATATCCTTTAATGTTTGCCGCGCCGTCAGCTTCAGACTCCAGACAGATTTGCAGAGACCTGTTTGAAACAATCGGCACACAGCTGCACATGCTTTCCCACTATATTAACTAATGACATCATCCCCTACACAACTATCGGAAAGAGAGCATGACTCATCATCGTTTCCGCTCTTTGAGTTTAGTCGACACCCGCGATGGGACTATGTTCTCACCAAGTATTTCTTAGAGGCGACTTAATATCTTATCACATTATGTATTTCAACATACTTCATCCACCGCTACAGCCAAGATATGTCTGCACTTCAGAGTGCTTACGTCACCATGTTGCTAGCTAACTTTCGTACTATATTTTTTTCCTTTATAAAATATCGATACCTTATTAAGAGGTCGGCGCCGGTGCCGGCGTCGCTCGCTGTAGTCTTCCGCCTTACAGATGTGGCTGCCACATGCTAGCTTCATCAGCCGCTGCAGGCCGCTCGCAGCCTGTTGTCGTCGCTGCCGCCGCCACCGTTGCCTCATTGAGTAATCGGAATTCCGCTGCACCCCCCTGGTGTACGTTGGCTCCCTTTGATGTCACGAAGAAGAATTCTTGGTCATCGTTAACGGACCCCATCTCTTCTTCTGTGCCACTATTTGGTCATTGCCAATGGTAATGACCTCTAAGAACTTCTTTCTCTGACTTTGCTGGACGTCATCGCCATGGCTGCTGGCATCTGGTTCACGCTCCTGATGGACAAGTAACGAAAGTAGATTAGAATAGAGCTCAAACAACTACTTCCACTCATTAACCACCTGTCACGAAAAAAATCACGAGTGTAATAAAATTTCGCTATTGCGCCTAATTAAAGGAAATTATTTATTTCCTAAGATTATACAGGGTGTTATTGAATAGGTGTTACAAACGGATATGGTATGTAAAAAATCCAAAAATAAGTGCAGTTTACTTAATAAACATATGTCCTAAAGCGGCTCATTTTCGAGATACAGGGCGTTGAAATTTAAAAATAATAAACTATTTTTTCCTGTAGCTCCGGTATTAGTTAATATTTCTTTATCAAACTCAACAGACAGATTTACTAGCTTAAAGGATGCATAAATATGGCAGAAACCATTTATTGGCTTCTTCTAGTGGCGTGCGATAGGTGTCGTTTCACCTTTTATCCCCCCTAAATTGTGCGGCACTGTACAAATATTAGTTTTTCGTATGTTTTTGAATTTGCTAGTATTTTTTACGTAAATAATGTATACTTGTTAGACTTCCATAAAATGAGTAATTATCAAGTTATTAACATTTACATTACTGAGGTCACCTTATGCTCCAAAAACCAAAAATTTTTAAAAAGTGACATGTTGAGTAAATTTTTCACGAAATTGTTTAGTAAATGCATACATGTGTCGCTTTTTCTTTTTGAGATACAAAACATTCAAGGTTTCCGTATTCCTCAAGCAAGTTTAAAATGTTGGAAAAAAAACATTTGCCGTTGACATTACTTGTATTTTAATGTCAAATTATTTTCGATTGTGAAACGAGGCAGTTTTTAATTATTATTGTTATTTTAGTGTAAAGTTTAGTTTGTAAGTTTTAATTATTAGATAGATATCTTTATCCATTCGTTTAAAACATTCATACATCATGAATGAATATACTTCTGCTGATTATGCAAACATGATATTAATGTACGGTCAAGCGCGTTGTAATGGCAGGGCTGCCCGTCGGTTATACTCAATCCGATTTCCAAATCGTCCAACCCCTTCACATAAGATATTTGGAAGAGTGTTTCGCAGGTTGCAGGAAACAGGAACTTTTACAACAAATAGGGTTAACTGCGGGGTAAGGAGAAACCGCAGAACGATAAGGTTCGAAGAAGAAGTTCTTAATAGGATAGAAGAAAACCAATCCACCAGCAGTCGAAGTATTGCTCAGAATATGCATGTAAACCATGTAAGCGTTTGGCAAGTTTTACGCGAGCAACAGCTTCACGCTTATCATATACAAAAGGTTCAAGCTTTAACTCCCGCCGACTTTCAGCCACGACTAAACTTTTGCCATTGGTTTCTTCAACAGTGTCAGTTGCAAGCAAATTTTCCGCGGTTTGTGCTTTTTACAGACGAAGCATCCTTCACACGAGAAGGGATCTTTAATTCTCGCAACAACCATGTCTGGGCTGAAGAAAACCCTCACACCATTCGCTCCACTAGATTTCAGCAGAAGTTTGGCGTCAATGTCTGGGCTGGTATAATTGACGGGCGCTTAATTGGTCCGCACCTTCTTCCAAATCGTCTTACAGGTCCTATTTATTTAACGTTCCTACAACAAGTACTTCCAGAATTATTAGAAAATGTGCCATTAAACATTCGACAGGAAATGTGGCTGCAGCATGATGGTGCGCCAGCGCACTTTTCGCTTGTTGTCCGAGATCACCTTAATCAACAATTCGGTGTAAGATGGATTGGCCGTGGATTACCTATGGCGTGGCCACCACGTTCCCCAGACATGACCCCGCTTGACTTTTATTTGTGGGGCCATATGAAGAGTCTAGTTTATGAAACTCCTGTTGAGTCAGAAGAAGATTTGGTAGCACGCATTCTAGCTGCAGCGCAGGAGATCGAAACGTCGCCTGGCACTTTTGACTGAATGTACACAAATATGCTTCGAAGAATTAACGCTTGTATCGCTACTGGTGGCCGTAATTTTGTGCATTTACTGTATTTTTTTTGTGCAAAAAAACTAGCATAGCATAGAAAAACATAGTTTTTGGAGCATAAGGTGACCTCAGTAATGTAAATATTAATAACTTGATAATACTCATTTTATGGAAGTCTAACAAGTATACATTATTTACGTAAAAAATACTAGCAAATTCAAAAACATACGAAAAACTAATATTTGTACAGTGCCGCACAATTTAGGGGGGATAAAAGCTGAAACGACACCTATCGCACGCCACTGGAAGAAGCCAATAAATGGTTTCTGCCATATTTATGCATCCTTTAAGCTAGTAAATCTGTCTGTTGAGTTTGATAAAGAAATATTAACTAATACCGGAGCTACAGGAAAAATTAGTTTATTATTTTTAAATTTCAACGCCCTGTATCTCGAAAATGTGCCGCTTTAGGACATATGTTTATTAAGTAAACTGCACTTATTTTTGGATTTTTTACATACCATATCCGTTTGTAACACCTATTCATTAACACCCTGTATATTTCTGAATTTCTGATTCTTTTTATTTCAGCTACATTTTACAAAAATTGTAGAATTCGTTATTTATTGAAAGTTTTACTTTTCTAAATTTGAGGAAAACACATGATCTCCATTTCAGTCTTTGTATGTATTTTTTGTTTTCAGATTACTGAAGATAGAAAATCTAAAACGAAGTTAATAAAGAAAAATAAAAATCTCAAAATGAAATTTAGAAATTCTAGTGGATTAATGTCTCTATATATAACATCATGTGAAAAAGATATATCTCCAAAGGTGACTCTTCATCAATTGAAATCAGCTGTACCCAATTTGAATATTGCAAGTTCAGTGGAAACTAATTATGGACTAATTATAAATCTTGCAAATGATTCTGGTGTTAAAAAAATGTTCAATATAGATCTTACAAAGGTTTTCGGAAAACCTGTACAGGTTGTACCGTTATTTTCAGGTCATTTTAAAAAAAATATTATTTTTAAAGATATACCTTGGTGTATACGCAATGAAGAATTAGAACTTTGTCTAAGACGACAAGGAATACAGTTTACAAAAATTACAAAAGACAGGTCAACAGTATTTGTAGAAATATCAGATTTTTCAAATTATCACAGATTACGAGAAGAAGGGATTAATTTCTATAACTCTGTAGTCTTTAGAGCTACGGATGAATCAGTGATTAACGATGACATTATTTACAATTCAGATAACATAATTCAATGTTATAGGTAAATTAACCAGTTATTACACTATTAATTTAAAAATATATATTTAGGCTATTTTAAATTATAGGTATAATAGAAGATTCCTAACATCAAATCGTCATATATCTTACACTTTTTCTACATTGTGCAGTAATCCTTGCCGATGAAGTAAATATGATCTGAACGATATAAAGTAAAAACCTACAAAGTTATAGTTTTAGTTATTTACTGCTAAATTATTTGTAATAAGTACCGACTATTCTGTGTATTTTTGACATTTTCAATATGAACATTATCTGTTTGCCCATTATTTAGAGTTATTGTGGGTATGCCTGTTTATAAATTTAGGTTTTAATCGGTATTTAGTATTTAGTAGTAGCGTCGTTATGTCTATATAAATATTATTCGTTTTTCTTCAGAGCTTATTTTTATATATTTTCATTATAATCATGATTTGAATTAACACGATTCCGCATAATTGAAACATCAACGAGACCTCTTGGAAAAAAGTCACAAAATCGGCAACGTGTTTGCTCTAAAGTATGAAAATTAATGAAACTCAACCGTAATAGCCTCAGGCATTAAAGCCATTACCAATGAGCAAGAGCTAATTCAATTCTTCATTTTCCCATTTTCTGTAGAAAAGCCCACAACGTTTGAACCTGCTTATAACGCTTTATGATAATGAAATTTCCTTCATATTAATTGTTTCCTCTGAATCTGATTGAATAATTTTTCATTATTTTATAAGTAAGCTCTTAATAAATAACGCCTTTTGCAATTTAAAATTATTTTGTTATCTGTATATTTTATTTTAGATGAGATATACCTACATACGTATTAACTTTAAATTATTCATATTATTACATTCAAGGTTCTGAACTAGGTATATCATTACGTCTGATAAGACAACTCGATTTTGTTTGTCGAGCACAATAATAGTTGTATTATAATTATATTATTATTAGATTCAAAATCTCTTATCTTCGCTTTCTTAATAAAAGTTTATTTTCAAATGTCGCAAAACCCAAACTAAATTAAACAATATAAGGCGCTGCCTTCTACAGGAGGGCAATGGATGAAGAAAAATTTCATGATCAGTTTAAAATATTAACTTCCTCCGTTGATCAGACAGCAACGGATTTTAGAAAAAATCACAAAAATGCTTTACAATATTAAGTGAGTGACAAGGAAAATTCGTAAATAATTTAAGTTTAATATACCGCCCGTTGAAACAGTGCTGTTAGACATTGGCGAAAACGAACTGATTATAGAATCTAAAAATTGATTCAGATCTTGACACTAATTCTAATAGGTAATCTCACGAAATAAAATTACTGCGTATACATTTGTCTAAATTCGGTCGCTGAAATCGTGCCCAATATTCTGTTCAGAATACAAGAGTCGGTGGAAGTAACGCATATATTTTTTCTTACTACTAAAGTTAATATCGACAGTGCGATAAAATCATTTTGGTAAATGTTCCTCGGTCACATGGAAATTCTGCTGATTATGATTCCTCTGAAGACATCTATCAGAGAACACATTCCGATTTTGCCATAAAGTGCTTTCTTTCGTTAGAAAGAAAATTAATCAAGAATTATAAATTATGTTCTGAGAACTCTAACAATAATCAAGGACACCTTGATAAAAAATTATTTCGAACCCGTCGCAGGTAATGAAAAAGTTGATAATATATTTTATATTTCACATCATTGACTAATCAAGTTGTGCAAAAAATATACAACGCACCTGCTAAACTAATTTTGGTTATTTAAATGACGAGCTTCTTTATATTTTTTGCAAAATGATTCAATGATGAAATGAAATTCAGTGACTAGTTCCTTAATGTCAATTGGGATGATCTCCCCAACTACCGTTCGTGAAAAATGGTAACAATTCATTTTCGCTTTACCACGAATTTCAGAATTTAATTTACTACGCCACATAATGGTCCCTCTCCATGCAAAGCTCTCCTAAAAGGGGCCTTTGAAGAACTTTACATTATTCCTACACTTAAGTATGTATAAGCTGACTGGATCCGTTTTATAACAAAAACAGTTCTCTGTTCACACCTATGCTGATATCTTGCTACTCGCCTTTACCGCAATCATTCCTAGCTCTCTCGGTGAGGCATTGTTTCGTCGTATTATATTTGGACCCGGTCCCTCCAGTGAGCTCTCACTGTCAGCACTTTTTGAAATGATTAAGGAAAACACCCACAAATAGTTTAGAACACGGTGGGATAAAATAAATAGCTGTTAATTGGCTAAGGAGTTCTTAGGATAGCCCAGCAAAGGCACAGCCAAAAAATACTTGGCTATGTACAGAGTAAGCTTTCGCCTGGTGACGGGTGACCGGATACTGTTGGCTAAGGAAACACCTCTACAATATGAGGAAGTGCAAAGCACCCCTCTGTAGAGGTTGTGAGAAGGAAGACGAGACAGTTTTCCATGTACTCTGCGACTGCGCTGGTGTCTCGCCAACGAGAGAATCACTGCTAGGATAACAGTGGCCTTCTATGGCAACGTCATCACTTTTTCTCCTTGACGGTTCAGGAGAGCTGATCACTTGCTGGGAGGATGCACATGGAGCCCAAGTGCTGTAGCTCGATATACTGAGCTACCCTGCAAGCTATTCCGGAGCGATTAAAACACAAATACGAGTAAAAGGCTGTTTTCCCTCGTTGGCCAAGAGCCGTTAATAGTTATAATTCTGACTTGATTTTCTAGACTTAAGAATGCAGGTTTTTTAATAGATTTCTACTCAGCATTTAAACATTGTTACAAGACAT